TAAGATAAGATAAGATAAGATAAGATAAGATAAGATAAGATAAGATAAGATAAGATCATGTCATGTCATGTCATGTCATGTCATATCAGGAAACTCTACATAACTTCAGACAAATGGTTATCCAACATCTTCTATAAAACTTCTACTGGTGGAGTATTCACAACTTCTGGAGGCAAGTCGTTCCACTGATTAATTGTTCTAAATGTCAGGAAAGTTCTCCTTAGTTCTAGGTTGCTTCTCTCCTTGATTAGTGTCTACTCATTGCTTCTTGTCCTGCCCTCAGGTACTTTGGAGAATAGGTTGACTCCCTCTTCTTTGTGGCAGTCCCTGAGATATCGGAACATTGCTATCGTGTCTCCCCTAATCCTTCTTTTCATTAAACTTTCATTTAAAGTTTTTCATTTAACGTTCATTAAACATAATTTAAAGTAATTGCAATATGTATGCATATAATATAAAATAACATAAACATTATACTAAATATAAAATATTTTCAGAATTGCCCTTAATAGTGCCAGGATTCTAAGAGCACAGTTTTCAGGATTCTTTAAAGAAGAAATTGGTTGTTTTAAAGAAGGAAAAAACCTCCAGGCAAGGAAGAGTTGAGAAAGGTACATATTTAAATTCTGGTTTAGCCACAATTTGATAATACTAGAGCAAGGTTTTTTTTAAAAAAAAATCCAGGAAGGAGAGGGATTAGCAGTTCAATATATACATATACAGTACTAATGTTGCTTTTTAGGTACATGAAACTGCTCTGCATACACATACATGCACACAGAAATATATAGTCCATGTACAAAATATATAAATATTTTCAAAAGTGATATTAAAATCTAATACACCATTAACAGAATAACCCAAGATCCAATGAGTTTAATAGCTTATTGCTAAGTAAATGAGATTTTTTTCCCCTGTAGCCTAAACAGCTTGAAATTGAGGATTTTTCAGTCTTAGATAATCCCCCAAACCAATTTTTGGATACACAATAATCTCCTTTTACTCAAGAATTCAGCTTTTGATGAAAGTTAGCACTTATTCGTAAATTGCTGATTCTGCACTGTTGGCATTATTAGACAGTATTCACAGCAGAGCACAGCACAAGCTCGTCTATGATAAAACCAAGTCTCTTACTGAATAATGTAATAATCCTAACTCAAAATTAAGTGATACTTAATTCAAGGAAGGTCATTGCTAAGATTAAACAATATACACAGATCTTAAGTGTAAAGTGCAGTACAGGATAGTGAGGACTACCATAAAGTGATTGAATGAGACTCCGTGTATGTACTTGGATTAGTTCTCTATGAGGATTGGATGTATGTGTTTAAATTCAAATGGTTTTGTAAATTTATATACTGGCCTTCAAGAACTGTACCCAATTCCATAAAGTTGCTTTGGAGTGTATAAGGATGCAAACCAGTGGTGGGTTGCCAATATTTTTAGTACTGGTTTGGGTGCACTCCCGTGCACGCAATGCTTCTGTGCATGCACGGAGCCTTCCACCGCTGCTACTACTGGTTCCCCCGATCTGGGCCGAACTGGGAACAACTTACCTCTGATGCAAACATTGGCCCTTTATGCAATTCTTGAAAATCATCCCTTTTTCAGCATCTTTAACTGGCTTATAACTCAAGTAAGAATCTCTCCCCCCCCCTCTTTTGATGCTCTGTGGAATCAGCTGTGGCAATTATTTTATATTTATTAATCTAAATGATGCATCATCCAGTAAGACCACATAAATATTTCATTATTAAACTAAGCTGTAAAGCTATCCGAGCCAAGCTTTTTTCTCATAAAGCAAAGGTCACACTGTTCAATATGATGTGTCTGAATCATATTGGGTTTTTTTTAATAATAAATCTTATTTCATTGCAATACCAATACATGTCTTGTAGTGAGAACATTTGAGTCCTGTTTCATAGCAAGTTATAGCTTTGGATTATTTTTCTTAATAATTAAATGAAAAGTGTAATGTTTTCCACTCATTTATTTAATTAGGTTCTCTTTATCTAATTTTAGGATTTGAGTGAAGAACAAATCATGCTTTAGGTCATAGAAATATTGAAAATTCAAAAATGGTTATCCAATTTTTGAGGGCCCTTGTATGCCTCTTCGTTTTCAGTAAAGGCAATCTATTTGAGAATATTATTTTCCATGTTTCTTTTTGCAAAGGTATTATCGTAGAGTGACATTTTTTGCCTGTTTTGTTTATAATAAAGGTTTTGCTCTTTTTATTTATTTTAGAATGAGCATAAAAGAAAAAGCAAAGCTGCAGCTAAGGAAGCTTGACATTGGAGACAAATTTTCCAATGTTCAGTTAGCAAAAGCCTCAGTTCTTGTTCCACTAATGGTCAAAGATGGAAAGCTATGTCTTCTCTTCACTCTTAGATCAAAAAAGGTATGTAAATATGAAAACCAGAACTAGTTTCACAATTAATTTGGTCAATATTTTTAGAAACATGTGAACTAAAGACTATAATAAAAGGAGAGAACACACATAGAAATATATTCAATCTGGATAAGCAGAGCTAACACTAATAGTGTCTCCTTTTGAGGCAGGAATGCAGTCTCTGTTTGAACTTCCTTCTATGGGTAATCCTTGACTTACAGTTGAGCCCCAAATTTCCTTGGTTCAGCCAGTCAGTCATCAAGCGAATTCTGCCCCATTTTACGATCTTTTTTTGCCACAGTTGTTAAGTGAAACACTGCAGTTATTAAGTTTGTAATAACTGAATCTAGTTCCACCATTGACTTTGCTTGTCAGAAGGTCGCAAAAGAGGATCACATGACCCCAGGATACGGCGACTATCATAAATATGAGTTGGTTGCTAAGTGTCTGAATTTTGATCACATAACCATGGGGATGCTGCAACAGTCGTAAGTGTGAAAAATGACCATCACTTACTTTGTTGAGTGCTGTTTTAGCTTCAAACAGTCATTAAATGAACTGGTATAAGTCAAGGTCTACCTATACTTAAGCCTACCTTAAGTTTTCACTTTTCCTTTTACATCACAATCTCTTCTGTTTTTCTCTACTAATAATCAGCCCATCCAATATAGCACTGACTTTCTTTTCTTACAGCCATTAATTAAAATTTTGATGCAATAAATTTAAAAGTTGGAATACCTGAGGACAGGGTAATGTTTGCATCTTGATTTCCCTTGGGCCTCTTTCATCTGTCACCAGCAGCCCAAATAGCAAGAGACTTCAGCAGTAGCCCAGGTAAAGATGTTAAATGTGTTTGCTAAAGCAGGTTGCTTCCTTAAATCTCCATGAGCTGGAAGAATAGCTTAATTTTCTGAAGGTCAAGAGGGAAAAAATCACTTTTCTCTATCTTTCTTTTTTTTATAATAATTCTGGTCTGTTTTGTTATATTTTTAATGCTTTGTAACTAACCTGAATCAGAGATAGTTTGGTCTAAGTCAATGATGGCTAACCTTTTCTGGACCGAGTGCCTAAAGCGCCTGAACCCCCCAAATGCAGTGCATATGTGCCCCCCATGCATGCGCCCCACCTCCTATGCATGTGTGTGCCCCATGCCCCCCAATCGTGTGCACGGCCCCTGCATGCCCCCCACGCATGAGCACATGGGCTTGCGCACCTGCGCAGCAGAGAACCAAATATCAGCTGGCCAGGAGGAGGCATTCATGCATGTGCAGCGGAGCTGAACTGGGGCAACAACTGGTGTGCCATCAGAGAGGGCGCTGCTTTCAACGTCTGGCATGCGTGTCATAGGTTTGCCATCACGGGTCTAAGTAGTTAAGGGTGTAGTGAACAGGAATCAAGACTGAACAAATGTAAGCAGACAGGCACATTCACACATGTACCTCTATGGCTACTTGACATAGTACTGTATATGAATAAAGCGATTAAATAAATACTAATTCTTTGTTCGGATTATTCTTTCTAATGTATCCACATCTTTCAGAAACATTTCTGCTGAATTATATGGGTGTAGTAAATAGGATTTTTCTCATGCTTTTGGGCTAATGTATTTTATTGAAAATAATCTTAGGAGAGATTTCATCTTTCAAGATGCAGGTGCTTTAAAAATTACTTGCTGATTTCTTTTTTTCTTCTATTTTTCCCATATCTTTTTTTTAGTTGATCATCTTAGTTTTGGTTGGCACATGCACATATTGTGCATGTTTAGCATTAAAACATTGTTTTGCAATGTGAAACCACTTATGCCCAACACCCAGTTGTTATCTCACAATAACTCCTTTAGGATTATTGGATTATTCAAAACCAATACCATCAATTATAGGAAAAGTTATGAAAGCCTGTCTTGTTCACGTCTGTACTTGCTAAGTTCCTATGTTGATGATATTGATTTTGAATAAAAATGGCAATAGAGACAAAGATCAAGAGACTGCAAAGAACAATTGACCTAATATTTGGATCTTGGTTTCCCTGTGTGACATTTGACATTTGAGGTTATATTTTAAATGGAAATGAGTGCTAGAAAAACTCACAGGATTTATGCATACCAATTGCTAAATTGGAGTACAGTTCTTTGAACCCATTGATTTCAGTGACTCTTAAGTTTGACTAGTTCTTGATCTAAGATAGGATTTTATAAATGCAGCTACTCTTAAACTGGCTGCCAGGATTCCAATGGATGCCCTAATTATACCATCAGTCTCGAGCCAAGCTTCAAAAGAAATCCAGTTATTTATTAGGAGCAATATGTTGGCACATACCCAAGTGAAGCCAACTCTGACCCCATGTAATTTACAACCAAATTATGACCCTGTTTCCCTCCTCCCTCAGGATGTGTCATAAATCACATTCTCCAATAGAGCACTTTTGCAGGCTGTAGAGATCACACCCCTCCGGCTGCTGCAGGTGACCTGGGATAATAATAATGACACGTCAAACAATAACAGGTGCTTATCCCAGGTCCTTACCAAAGACTTGTTAGGTGAATCAAAATGCCAAAACTTAGTCTAAACATCTGATGGACTTATGCAACCAACAGTGTTGATGTTCTAATTCCAGTTGAGAAGATATCCCGGAGAAGTTTGTTTTCCAGGAGGTAGAAATGACCCAACAGACACAGATGAAATTGCCACGGCTCTTCGAGAAGCTAAAGAAGAAGTGGGACTTCTTCCTGAACAGGTTGAAGTCATCTGTAGACTTGTTCCTAGAATAGATAAAGTAGGTACCGTTTGTCTGAAATATTTTTAAAAAGCTGTAATTTGTGGTGAATGGGCCTTAAAAAGGAATACAACAAATTCACAGAGGATAATACTGTCAGCAACCACTAATTCAAATGACAATAGACTTAATCCTTTGTATTGATAGTGTTGACATGGTCTATATCCGTGATGGTGAACCTATGGCATGCATGTTCAAAGTGGCACGTGGAGCCATGTCGCCCGTTCCTCTTCCGGGTTTCTGGTGCGCATGCTCACACTATGATCAGCTGTCCTTTGCGACTGTGGGAGTGCCAGAAACCGGAAGAACTGGTCTTCTGGTTTCCATTTTGCGCATGTGTGCCGACCTGTTGATCATCACATGCACATGCACGCCAGTAACCGGAAGAAAAGCTGGCTGGTGCACATGCACACGCTGTAAACCGGATGTTCATTTCTGGGATAATATTCATGAGTATGCCCACTGGGCAGCTTCTCTTCTGGGTCACGTCCCCAACGAGCATGCGCGCAGGTGCTTGAGCACTCTTTTTTTAGTGTCAAAAAGGTTCACCACCGCTAGTCTATATGTCCTTTAGTGGCTTAAGAGTCAAATATTTAAACTCTGGCTTCCATCAATTCCAAAACCAGTCTACATTAAAAATTGCTGGGAAACCTTGCTCATGTCCTTTATCAATGCAATGGACACAATCAGGTCCTTCTGAGTAGTAGCATCTGTGGTATTAAGCTGCTGCTTGAGGGAACCATATGTGTCTTCCCCCAGGCTGCCTTCTTTAAAGTAAGAACTGGAAATCCTGTGTTAATCCAGGAACAAACTTTTTAGATAATCTGTTACGTAAGGTACTTTTCAAAGAATGAACTCTCTTTTAAATTTCATACTTACCATTTTTAAGGAATACAGATAGTTTCTCCCCATTACAGTTGTAAGTTGTGAAAGTAGTAAGGAACTCATCATGTGGTCCACCTGGTTTAACCTTTTTTTGTGACAGTTGTTAAACAAGTCACCAGGATTGCTAAATGAATCGGCAGTCGTTAAGCAAACATTATGGGGTATTTCACTGAATATTGCAAGCCGATGCCTGTGAAAACATCATGAATTGGAGTCACATGACGACAGGACACTGCAAACAGCCATAAATGTGGGCCATTTGCTGACCACCCGAAATGCAGCCACATGCCTGGGAGGGCAACCATTGGAGCTTTGGAATGAGATCAGAAGTACATTTTTTTCGACCGTTTCACCGTGGCGCGGCGCACCTTTAAAAACGAAGACTATTTTGTTCACATTCAGTAAGACCCTGGATCCCCCCCCCCTTCAAATTTATTTAGTGATTTGACTAAAGCGAATTGAAAGAATACTTGATTCAGTGGTGAAATTCACTTTTTTAAACTACCGGTTCTATGGGCGTGGCTTGGTGGGTGTGGTGTGGTTTTGTGGGCGTGACAAGGGAAGGATACTGCAAAATCTCCATTCCCACCTCACTCGGGCCAGCCATAGGTGGCATTTGCCGGTTCTCCAAACTACTCAAAATTTCCGCTACCGGTTCTCTGGAACCTGTCACAACCTGCTGGATTTTATCCCTGACTTGGTTAGAAATATTAAAAGTTTAACCATAACTTTACTTCTCTCCCCTTTAGACTCATTCTGTCGTAACTCCAGTTGTAGCCTTCATAGAAGACACTTTTCAAGCCCAACCAAATCCAGAAGAAGTCAGTCACGTGTTCTCTGTACCGCTAGAGTATTTTATACGCCCTGCGAAACACAGCATTGTACCTGTGGAAACACAAAAGGGATACCCTCCATTTGTGTTACATTCCTTTGAATACAACGACCCAGAGCATCAGATGTTATTTAACGTGTGGGGACTCACTGCCCATTTTGCAATCTTTGTTGCTGTTGCAATTTACGGGGAGAAACCGACATTTGAAGTTGAATTTGACCTTGATAATTTGAATTCTTTAGCTGAGAAAACCTTTATGATGCACTACCATAGCATAAAAAGCAAACTTTGACAGGTAACATTGTCATTTCCCCCCCCCCCATGTAATTGAAACTCTTAAAACTATGATTCATGTCTTAGCTGAAATAATTTGGTTAATTTATATTTATAAATCATGTTGGAAGCGTATAATTGCAGGAATCTGTTTGTGCCACATTCAGCTGTGATAGGGTGGTATTTAATTAAAATTTTAAAATGTAATGATCATTTTGGGCCCAAGTCTCTAATGCTTGGCACTTCCCCCCCCCCCCCCCCGGTCTAAATCTAAATGCCAATAGAGATGATATGGGAGAGACTGCTAAGGTAAATAAATCTTTATAGGTTTTACGAGTGCAAATCTTTTTGCACATTTTATACAAATAAAATGCACTTCTACTAGATTTTAAAAAAATATTCTCCTGTGTCTATATACCTACTGGGCTCTTTAATAGATCACTATAGGGTAACAAGGTAGTTATATATGAGGACCCAGATTGTCAGGGGCAATATGCTAACTCTGTAAACCACTTATAGAGGGCTGTAAAGTACTGTGAAGCGGTATATGTGTCCAAGTGCTATTGCTATTTTTGAGAAACAGAACTGTCATATGCACAATTTGAGTTGTGCTTCAGGCAGAAGCTTCTTGGTGGAGTTCAACTACTCACTTTTTAGGTATGTATGACCTGGCATTAGGCACCCTTTTCTCTTAAAGCATCGCAGTCGTAATTGTTCTATATTTTTCATATCAAGATTGGAATCATAAGTGAAGGATGCGGTATGTTCCTCACAAGAGAAGCTACTACAGAACCCATTCAGTTTCAGTTTGGATTGCAATTTTAATATAGTTAGTCCGTGTATAATTGACAGACTGGATTTTTATCATAGATTTTAGTTGTTTATTATTTTATATTCTCCTTCCTCCTCCCTCCTCCTCCTAGCATATTCCCGCAGGTCCGCTTTTCAGATCATGGAATGCCACTTTGCATCTGCGTCCCCTGTGCACAGGCCTATGGCATTATTTGTTTATTTTATACTAGAATTTTTAATTGTAAATTTACTGAGTGTTTTTACTTGTTCTGGTCTCTGGTCTGTGCCTGTAATAATAGTAAACTGAAACTACTCCAGAACTGACATTTCTGCAAATTAAGTCCAGAAGCAGATGCTTTTTGGTTATGGCTCTGATATTATAGAACTGCCAGTTTTTTTTAAAAAAAAAAGTTCCCGGAAGTAATAAGTAGTTTGGCTACTTATATGGATTTTATTTAGATATCGTTTAACATGAGATTGTTGCCTTCTCTTGCATTTTTCTGCTAGTTCTTTTTCAATTCAGAGGTTCAGCTGCTTTTCCTTCATCTAAAACTTTATACCCATTCACGGTTGAAAAGCAGCTGTTCCTGATATTTTAGGACTGGCACTTG